GTCTTGTGTTGATGGAAATATTGAGATGTGTCAAGTCTGAATGGAATCGCGTTTTATGAGTTTCATGAATATTCAAAAATTTGACCCTTTGTGGGGGAGGTGCCAGAAGGAGTGTACCGATATACTCCATCTTCACACCAGACCTTATATTAATAAAAATATTATGATATGTGTAATTTCAAGACAATCAGACTCCTACATCACATTTTATTAGAGTTATGATAATTCCAAATTTTGACCCTTTGTAGGATAGGTACTTGATGGATTTGACCGTTATTGTTCATTTTCGCACCTAACCTTGCACTAATTCAAATATTAGTATTCGCAAAGTTGGATTATCCTTTCTCTTTCTGTGCAGTCAATTTTTTTCTTTGAAAATGTTGACATTTTGTGTAGGAGGTACCAGAGGGATTGGACCGATATTGCCCATCTCCGAACTCGATCTAAATTTTACAATAATATTACGATGTACCAAAATTTGGATCAAATCGGATTATCTCTTCGAGAGACAGACAGACAGACGAACGGCCGGACGGACATCGCTAGATTGACTCCAAATGTCTTAAAACGGATTTGGTCTAAAACCGTTATTTGGATGAGCCACGTGTTGGCCCACCCTATGTAGCCATATGGCTGAGGGTATAAAAATGGTGAATTGACTGACCTAGAATCAACGGCTAAATGAAACGGCTGAAGCTGGCCTTGCACGAGGCCAGTCTTGGTGCGAAAGCGAGTGATAAGGTTGGGTTTTTCAAAATTCGTACTAAAAGGGTACGAAAAGCACTAAAGTTAAAAATACATTTTGAATACTTTATATTGGACATATGGAATGAGCAAGAATTCTGAAATGAGAGTCACTGATGGAGAACAAGATAGATGTACCAATGTGTTTTTTAAAATTCAAACTTAAAGGTTACGAAAAGTTCTAAAATTATACTTAACTTCTAAAACAGTACCATTTGGTATTATGTGAACGGAATGAACGGAATAAAATTTGACATGAGAATCAAAGTTGGAAAGTAAATTTGATATATGAAGGTGGTTATGAAAATGTGTAATAAGTGTGCGAACTGTACTAAATGGTACTACATTTTGAACAATTTGATTCCTTGTGAACAGATGAAGCTGGAATTTTGAAATTTTATATTGGGGTCCTTTTTGGTGGTTGGTTTGTGGTAATTAGGTGGTTTTGGAAATGGGTACTACAAATGCAAAAAAAGTACTTAATATTACTTTATTTGGTACAATTTGGTATTGTGTGAGCAGATAATGCTTGAAATCTAGAATTTAGTTCATGTGTAACCTGTACATATGAGGTGTTTTTTTGGAAATGTGTACTAGAATTGTACGAAAAGTAGCAGAAAAGTACCAAATGGTACCATATTTGGTATAGGGTGGGGAAATAGAGAGTGAAGTTGAGTTGAAGTTGAGTGAAGGAACTGGTTTTGGAAATTCGTATTACAATTTTACTAAATGGTACTAAATTTTATAATGGGGGAAATAACAGAGTTTAAATTTTGAAATGTCATATTAAGGTCTCTATTAATATCTGAGTTTGAGATATGGATATTGTTTTGAAAATGCGTACATTAACAGTACAAAAAGAACTTAATGTTACCAAATTGGCATTGGGTGCAAGGATAGAGCTGAAATCCCGAAATTTAATATTGATATCACTGTTGGTGTTTGTAGTTGAGATAAAGATGGAATTCTGGAATTCGGTATCGAGCTCACTATTGGCATATAGGGTGGAGACAAAGTGATGGTTTTGGGCATGCACAATATAAAGGTACAAAAATTTGATATGGAGCTCACTGTTGGTATATAGTTTTGAGAGAAGAAGGTGAATTTGGGAATGTGTACTGTGATTGTTCGAAAATTACTAAATGGTACTAAATTTCCCGTTTAGCAAATTAAAATAGCATGAATCTTGAATTATAACATTGAGTTCACCGTTGGCTTTATGGATTTAGAAATAGTAGGGACCAAATTTTTATTATGAAAGGACCTTGAAATAGTTTTGGCCAGAAAAATTGGATTTGGAACCATTGAAAAGGGTTTAACTAACATTCTCTTCGGTAAAATGCAAACCGAAAGATTTAAAAGCCTTTTTGGTGCAAAAAGTAATCATATTTCGATTCTGCCTTTCGACAAAGGAAAAAGTTGAATACGAAACCAGTAAGGAAAAGTCAAAATTCGGGCGGGCCCGTCTATATGATACCCTACACCCCTATGTATATTTAGTAGAGCTCCCGTAGCAAACGAATTTATTTGAAGTAGATCATACCACCTATCAACGTTTGGCTTTAGAGCAGTTATAGTTTGGTTTCAAAGGGAATTAGAATATGGGAGGCATATCCAATTCTGAATCGATTTTCACTTAATTTGACGGAGACATTTTTATCTTTTATACCAAATAACATTGCTATAGAGTGCATGATATCACTTCGAGAAGGATTATATTAAAAAATGTAAATCTGAGCCGAGTTCCGCCAAATGGAAACGTACATTCCAAAATTCTCTCCATTTGGACTGATATTATTATTGCACAATAAACCGGAAATCGGATTAAGTATATATGTATATGAGAGCTATATCCAAATCTGAGCTGATCTCGATAAAATTTTGCAAAGGTTTTCTTCGAGCTCTATAAGATATCTAGTACGAAATATCATTGTTGTGGATTACATATTACGAACATGAGAGACTTAACACCGAATCGGATGAAACATATATATAGGAGCCATAGCTATATCTGAACCACCAAATTTCAGTCCATTTTGGGCTGATATTAGCTATTTGCTGCACAATAAATCTGATATCGGATAAAGATATATATGGGAATTGTATTCAAATCTGAACCGATCTTGATACAATTTGGCAGAGGTATTTCTGAGTTGTGTAAGATATCTGGTACCAAATATCATTCTTGTGGGGTGCACATTACGAATACGGACTTAAACACCAAATCGGATCAAACATATATATGGGAGCTATAGCTATATTTGAACTGATATGGGAGCCATATCCAAATCTGAACCGATCTCGATAAAATTTGGCAGTGGTATTTCTGGGCAGTATATCTGGTACCTAATATCATTCTTCGAAACTCGAAACATATATATGGGAGCTATAGTTATGTCTGAATCGATTTTAACCAAAATTGATGTACTTGCTTCTAGACTGAATTCGGTTGGATGTGCCAAAATTTGGTCATTTGGACTGATATTGGTCATTTAGTGCTTCGTGGGTGAAGTAGCAGAAGTAGCCCTATCGATCGAAGTTTGATAGAATTATTACGATGTACCAAATTTAGACGTGGTGAAACAAAACTTTAGAAACTGATTTCGTCCAAAGAAATCTAGGGTCTAAAATCTATATTTGGGTAATGCACATTTGGACCGAATCAAATAAAATATACCCTCTGTAGCTACAAGGCATATCCTCAGCCTTCTGACTACAGAAAAAATAATAAAACTGATTCAAGTCGAAAGTTTTGTATTTCTATAGAGAAAGGAGAAAATCAATTCCGATTTTCCTTTTTGGTAATAACAGTTGTCAGTGTCTGTACAACTCTTGAAGGGCTCTAAGAAAATAATAACGATTTACTTCAAAACATTAATTTTTTGGTCTCACCTATTTGCTTTCCATTTTAATTAAATTTCAAAAATATAAAAAAAATGTTGTTAAATACAAATTGTCGATCATATTCTATCCTTGATTTCAATATTGACATAAACAATAAACAGACAATGATGAGTTCAAATAATCATTGAATATTAAAATTGAAAGTTGAGAAGAAGTTGCAGCCGCATACCTAAATCGTAATCGTTCTCATGACATCACGACTTCGATGATTCTCCATAATTTGAGTGGCTTGAGAGGAGAGTACAATGATGATGATCATCATGACTGGCTATATTATTTGCCCATCAATACAATCGAATCGAATCAAATCAAACCAAAAATAATGACTGGCAACTCGGTAATGGTTAAATCAAATTGAATGATTTGGCATTACAAATTTCAAAAACCCAAAAAACAATATTCTTAAATGAGTTGCAGTTGGCAGGGCAAGCAAAGCTAAACACATGTTGTTCAAGTCAAAATGATTACTTCTTATTTAAGTCCCAAATTTGTTTGACTTCAAGGTAAGAAGTCACATCCTCATCAAGTTTCACTATGTAAACGAAAACCATAATTCTCTTTAAATCGAAAATCCGTCTAAAATATTTGGTGGATAAATTTGTATCCCTTTTATTGAAATTTCCTTTCAAAGAATTGTGATTTGCAATAAAGACCACCAATATATCTCCTATATCGTTCAAGCAACCAGAGAAATTACCACTCCAATAGCACGAGAAGGTACTCGAAAATGAAATGCAAAACGATTAGATAGACCCGCTCTGATAGCAGAAATAGACAGGCAAAGTCAAACATTATCATTAAAGGGTAATGTAACTGAAATAGTGGGCAGAACCATTCATATAATAACCATGGGGTGCAACAAGTCTATGCCCAAAATTAAAAAAAAAAACCTGGGCGCTGGAAAACCACCAGTACAATGGTGGAATAGCCTAGCCATGTCGACGAATTAAGAAGGAAGTTGTAACGTGACCATTATATTTTGCCCCGTAAATAATATTCAATTATTTACCTAAACCATCTCAATATACGCACCATCCTAAAAAACATAGTCCCGATAATAGTGAATTCACCTTTGGTCACACGAAAACAATTAAATTATTTCCCAGTTGTGGTATATAATTCTCATTCACTTCATTGCATATTCACGGATAAGTAGTTCAGTTGTTAACTCAAGAAAGTGTGTCGTACCTGTGTTAGACCGAGGATACCCGAAGTTGACTTGTGGCAGTGTCCGCAGTTGACCCGATATCCATCGTAGCCGAAGCCTCTTGCGATTCGTTCGCTTCTTGCGATTCGTTCACTTCCTGCCTTATACGATTGTTTCTTCTCATTTCAGATTGAGTAAACCGAAGAGTTCAGCTACAGCCTTTCATCCGACTACTCAGCCGAATACCACCGTCCCGAAGGCAGGAGCCGAACACCAACAACACGACTCTAATCGAGTGGCAGCACCCAAATACGACAACCGAGCAAACATACCTGAACACGGCTGTCCTCCAAAAGAGCCGAATACCAAAGTTCTGACGACAAGAGTCGGCACCAACAACACGACTTCAGCACCCCAATACCACAACTGAGCGAACATGCCTGAACGCGACTGCTACCTAACAGAGCCAAATACAACAAGTCGAGTATCATCTAATCGAGTGTATCAAGCCGAGCCTAATCCGAATCTAACCTGCACTCCGATTGCCATCGACTCAACTTTACGACTGGTGCCAGAACCTTTCTTCTAGTCAGGTTACTTAAAACCGAATAACCTCGACATCATACCGATCACCACTATTCAGGCACTATCGACCTAACAGCTGCAGCCACAGTGCGAATCCTCCCAGCGGAGATAAATACTTTTATTTGCGGAAAAAACTTTGACTAAAAAAAAAAGACGTTTGGTGTGGTTTGAAATTATAACTTGCTTTCTTTATTTTTCACTGGCTTATATACTAAAATTCTGTTTATTGCTGCATTTTCGTTGTCGGAAATGCAGCTGAAAAGAAAATACAGTTTTAAGCTAATATTAATATTTAAGTAAACAATTCTTTGGAAATTTGTCTGGAATAAAATGCTGGATTGCATATCAATATTTTAATAAACAATTCTTACAAATAATGTATTAACGAATATTTATTCTTTGGAAATTTATTTAATAAAATGCTGGATTTGCATATAAATATTTTGGTAAACAATTCTTTGAAATAATAAAATGTGGAACGATTCTCATTAAGGGAATAACGGGAGACACTATCGTTGAGGGGAATTAGTAGTTGACACTATAACACCCCCACCGCTAGTTTGAGGCTCCGACGAAACTATATTATTTTTATTCCATTGTTTATAATATTTTCATCTTTTAATTGTACACTTGTTACGTATGTGTTCTTATTCTTAATGATGTATATAAAAATAACTAAGATACAAATTGATACAATAATAGAGACATCAATGCCAAAACTTATAATTTTTGTGTTCTTATCTTTATACAATGCTTGTTTCAATGTTTCTTCATATTCTATTTGTTTTAAATATAATGATTCAATTTTTATATCGGCTAGAGTTGTGTTACTATTTTCTTTAATTTTTGTTATTAGGTTTGGTAGGATAAATTTATCGTGTATTTTTATTTTAATATTCGTAAAAGTTTTATTTAATGTGTTTATTTCACAATTTTCGAATTTGATCAAAAAGTTGCCGGTAATTCTCAGTTTGGCTTTGTTACAGTTATGAGTTATTTTATTGTTAAAGTTTTTAAGAATTAGTATTCCCGGAATGATTTCGGTTACTTCTTGTTTATTTGATGGTTGCATTTTACAATTAGCTTCTTCGAATTTTAGTATGTTATTTAAGCAATTGTCTTCGATTTTAATTAGATTTCTTTTTAGGTTATCTTTAATGTAAGTACTGTAAACGTTACTTTCTAGATCTATGAGTACGTCAGAATAATTAAGCTGTATGGATCTGTTATTCTTATCAGGGATTGGTACGAATGTTACCATGGATAGAGGATCTTTTGAAAAATGTGGAATGGAAAGAATTATGATAACGTTGTTATCGTGGAGTGCTATGGTTACTTTAATGTTGGTGTAACTGTCAAAGTCTGTAATTAGGTTAAGTTCGGTTTGAGTAAGAATATCTGTAGGAATTATTCCTAGTTTGCTGGAAAAGATAATTTGTCCGATGTCATCCACATGTTGCTGTAAAAGTGAGATATCGTTGTTGATCTGGTATATGTGTTCTATAAAGGTTATTTCTTCTTCCATGGTTGAGATTTTATTCCCTATAATATTTTTGAGTTTCGTTAAGTAGTTTCCAATGATGTTCTGCTGGTAATTTATGTGATTGGTTATATTCTGGATTTGAGAGTTCATTATATTGCTTATATATGTTAAGTTATTAATTTTGTCTGTTAAATTGTTATCGTTCGCTCGCAGCAGCTGAAAGGTCTCATTAATTTGTTTTTCGTCGTCGCTGTCCATTGTGCCAGCAATAATTTTTAACCCTTTACCTAGGATATTTAAGAGAGCCCGTTTCTTTCGAAAATGTGGGTTGAGGTTTTCTATTTTTGCCTTTAATAGCATAAAATTTTTGTTTACTGTATCTAGTAACCTTTTTGATTCGGTATTTGATGTTTTTAAAATGTCAATATTAGTTTTGATTGTTTCTAATGTTCGTTCGTATTCTGTGGTGTTTATTATATGTAATATCTTGGTATAGTGTTCAATGGTTTTGGTTTCTCCTGTCTTGATTGGAATGTAACCGTTATTGTTTGATAGGTCTTGTATGTCGAGGGTTTGGGCCTTGGTTGCTGTAGTAAATGCAACCATTATTATGATCCAGTTAATCATCTGAAAGGAGATGGTAATTATCTAGATTTTGCTTTAATTTTTGGGTTATTCTTGTCTTGATATTTCTTTTGAGGTCTTATATGTGCTTTGTAATATTTATGCCCTGTTTTTGTGTTTTCAATATGATCTTCATCGACTTTCTTAGATTCTATCTTTCTGTACCTCCTATGATTTTTACCCCCTCGAATTTCTCTTATATAGTTTGTACCTTCCTCTATCACTATATCGGTTCTATTTTTGTTAAGTTTATTAATATAGTTATTTTTCTTCTTTAATATTAGATCATGTATTTCGGGATATTTATCCTCATGTACTTTGCCATTTATAAAGTCTATAGGTTTGATTTGTGTGGTGCTATGAATAGTATTATTATAAAATCCAATGATACGTGATATTTTTTCCTCTGTCGTTTCGTCTTTGGATTGTTCGTCATGTCGTAGTAATCTTAAGTGTTCGTTCAATGTATTGTGAAGTCGTTCGATATCTGCGTTGGATGTATGGTTACTGTTTGATGTGTAGTGTATATTAATGTTCTCTTTCCTTAAATATTCTTGAATCGGAATGGCTTTAAATCCTAACTCATTGTCGACAACAATTTTTTCTATTCTTCCAAATGTGCTGGTATATTGCATTAATTTTGATTTAAACTCTATCCATGATCTTCCATTAATTTTGTATGCTGTGGCGTGTTTTGAAAATTTGTCAATTATAGTTAAGTAAAGTTGTTTCTCTAGTGTATAGAAAACGTCTAAGTGTAATATTTCCCTGGGTTTTGTGGGTGTTTCCGTTAGTTTGTAAGGTAGTCTAGGTGGTCTTCTGTCATACTTTTCCAATGTGCATATTTCGCAATTGTTAATGAACTGGGTTATCCTTAATTTAAGTTTGGGGTTATAAATTTTTGTTTTTAGTTCCTCGAACACTACCTGAATTCCTCTGTGATTTTTGCTTAAATGTTCTTTTGTTTTATTATGTTTGTTAGTTGGAGTTCGTCTTCTATATCGTCTAGTTTCTTAAAAGTCCTGATTAATTTGAATCCGATATTATTTGAAAAGAATTCCCTACAAGTGTCTCTGAAAGTGTCGTAAAATTCATTGTCTATCAGAACTGCATTTATTTGTGTTGGGTGACAGTGGGTTTTTAAAATCATAATTGCATACTCTTTATCTAGTTCTTTTACTGTTACAGTTTTTCTAATATTCTGAAAGATGTTTTCGGTTTTTATCCTTGCTGATCCGGAATGAATTTTTTTTACGATGAGTTGGTTTTTAAATAAATTTATAGGTGAATCGCTTTCTTTAAGAATGGGTTGGATGTTTTCTAATGAATTGATCTCAACAATTTTATTTTCGATCCTTGATAATGCATCTGCATTACTGTTTTTTGTTCCCTTTTTGTATTTAATCTCATAATCGAATTCTGACAACTTGAGCCTCCATCTGACTAGTTTTGAGTTGGGTTCTTTAATCGAAAAGAGCCATGTTAGCGGTTTATGATCTGTCTCGATTATGAACTTGCGTCCGAAAAGGTATGGGCGAAAGTATTTTGTGGCCCAAATAATTGCTAGAAGTTCTTTTTCTATCGTACTGTAATTGATCTCGTGATCATTTAGGGTACGACTAGCATAGCAAATCGGGTGGTTTTCTTGAGATAGTATCGCTCCAAGGGCAAAGTTACTAGCGTCTGTTGTTAGGGTGAATTTCTTAGTAAAGTCCGGGTAAGCGAGGATTGGGTCGTGTATTAGTAAGTTTCTTAGCGTATTAAAGCTTTCCTGATATTCTGGATTGGATGTGTTTATTTTGGCATCCTTTTTAAGACATTTTGTCATGGGTTTAGCTATTAGCGAATAATCTTTTATAAATTTTCGATAATAACCAGTCAAACCTAGGAATTGTTTAATTTGTTTAGGTGATTTGGGGATGGGGAAGTTAGCTATGCACTCGATTTTTTTTGGGTTAGGTTTTATACCTTCTAATGTCACGACATGGCCAAGGAATTCAGTTTCCTTTTTTAAAAATTCCGACTTGTCCAATTGGACCTTGAGGTTGGCTTCTTGCAAACGGTTAAAAACAAGTTTTAATGAATTTATGTGTTCCTGCAGTGAGGTGGAAAATATTATCACATCGTCTAGATAAACCAGACAGATTTTGTTGATATAGTCTCTAAGGACGTAGTTCATCAACCTTTGGAATGTCGCTGGGGCTGTCTTTAGCCCAAACGGCATTCGTAAAAACTCGTAATGGCCTCCTTCTACACTGAAGGCAGTTTTATGGATGTCCTCCTCATCGATTTCAATCTGATGAAATCCTTTTGCGAGGTCAAGTGTTGTAAAATACTGGCATCTTCCCAGTTTGTCGAGTATTTCGTCAATGTTAGGTATGGGGTACTTATCATCGATTGTAACTTCATTTAATTTACGGTAATCAATGACAAGTCTCCATTTGTTCTTCCCACTTGCATCGGCTTTTTTTGGCACAATCCAAATAGGGGCAGAATAAGGCGAATTGCTATGCCTTATTATATTATTTTGCAACATTTCTTGTATCTGTCCTTCGACTTCTCTTTTATGTATGTAAGGATATCTATAGGATTTACTAATTATTGGAACATTGTTTGTTGTCCGAATTTTATGCTTTATAACGTTGGTAAAACTCAATCGAGTATTTTCTTGGAAGAAGATTGAAGAGTATTTTTTTATTAGCTGTAAGAGACATCTTTTCTCTTCAGAATTAAGGTGTTGTGTCCTAATTTGTTGTTCCAAGCTATGATATTGCTTCATATCCCTAGTATCATCGCCTACCTTCTGCGTGGGCATGATTTTACTTAAATTTTTGTTATATTGTTCTTCAAAAAATATTGGTTTGTCATTTGTTTCTTCTCTATTTTCGCTATTTTTATTGTAAAAAAGTATTGGTATGTCCTGTCCGTTTATTTGCATGGAATTGTTTTTATAATTTATACAAGTATTGTATGTTTTAAGTATATCGTTGCCTAGTAATCCATCATAGTGATTGTGAAATTTTAAAACATAAAACTCTAACGCATTATTAGTTATATTAAATTCTTGAAATGCTGGAATTACTGCCTTTTCTGTTATGGTAACTTGGTGTTGGAGAGTTTTTATAACAAGAGGTTTTATTTGGTGTATCCATTTCGGATGACAAATTCCTGGATTAATAATTGAATTAGTGGCTCCAGTATCCACTATCAGTCTCAAATGACCTAACTTGGTTTTTACCATTATATATGGTAATTGCCTGTCGAGGCTCTGTCCTGAAAATTTTCGGCTGTGCCTATTTCCATGGGTTCAGGCTGATTTCTAGTGTTTTGTCTGTTTGCATGGAAAGGGTTTTGGAAATTTCCTTCGTGGTTTGGGAATGGTTGTTGGTAATTTCTTCCTTGGTTTGTGAATTGTGGTTGGTGATTTCTTCCTTGATTTGCGAATGGTGGTTGGTGATTTCTTCCTTGGTTTGGGAATGGTTGTTGGTAATTTCTTCCTTGGTTTGGGAATGGTTGTTGGTAATTTCTTCCTTGGTTTGGGAATGGTTGTTGGTAATTTCTTCCTTGGTTTACGAATGGTTGTTGGTAATTTCTTCGTTTACTAGATTGTGCATTGGTCTGTGCTCTATTTTCATTGTTTCCGGTGTATGCGTAGCCGGCTTGAAATAATATGTCCATGGCCTGTTCCAAGTCTCCTGGGTTCCTACAGAGCAGGATGGATTTCATAGGCTCTGGAATTTTGCTTTTAAAAATGTTTAAAGCGGTGCGTTTATTATTAATCGCACTTTGCCTAGTTGCTTCACCTTCTCCTAGTATAACTACCAGTTTGTTGTTTAGTCTGTGCAATTTGTCCTTTACGTCATTATAGAAGTCTAGTGTGTTCGTCCTGAAAGTCACACTCCTTAGTTCGTCGAAAAGTTCTTCACTAGAACGTCTGTCCCCAAAATTGTTTTGCAACATGTTTTTTATGTCAGTCCATGAAATCGCGTGGCAGTTTATCTCAATTGCCTGCCTAGCTTTTCCTTTGAGTTTGGACTTTATAATGTCGGAGAAAAGTAATTGGGACAATTCGTCGTATGTGCGTAAGTGTGGGTAAATTCGGTCAACGAGGGTAGTAAAAGTCTGTAAGTTTTTTGAATCCCCATAGAACTCTGGTAAGTTGTTTAAGTATTTTAGCGGGTCTATGATTAGTCTATTAATCTGATTTTCGGCCTGTTCTGCCATTTTAGTTATTAATTTTCCTTTATATTTTGGGTTATAGTCCTGTATAGTTTTTTTTTTTTTTTTTTTTTTTTTTTTTTGTTTATCTACGTCTAAAATATTGTCTGAGTTTCTTTCTAAAAATGCGTCTGTTTCTGCTACTTCTTATGTCACGAATGTAATGTTCTGTTCTTTCGTCAGTCAGGTATCCATCATTCGATTCAATCCCTGAGTCAAGTTCTAATGCTGTCGACCCGTTATTAGAGTTTCTTGGTATGCATTCAAAGTCTGATGGGTACTCTGATAATGAGTCACTATCGCTCATTGAAATGGGAAAGAGGGAGGAGAGGAAAAAAAAAAATTTTCAACAATTGCTTGTAGGGAATTATTTTCCTACACGATTTTTTCACAAAGGTATGTTAAATATTTTCTTATAAAATATACAAGTTATTCTTAATTATAGATTTCTAGAGATAGTCTTACTTTGTAATTTGGTTGTTGGTGCTAAGGATTGCAGGTTCACTTTCTTCTTAGTAGTAGGGTCTTCCACGGTGCAGTTCTCGGCATGAACTGTTCCTTAACTTATTGGTTTGTTGGTAATGTTATTTCTTTACAATATTGCTCCAATAGTTGCTGTCGAATTTCTTTAACATATTTATTTTGGTATTTTGTTTTGTTGTTGTTGTTGTTGTTTCTTTGAAGTTTATAATCCACTGAAGGAATATCCTTTTTTTTTCACTAGGTTTCCTTCTGACACCAGGATGTTCACCAAAAGGATAGATCTTTATATCCTTTCTGGTTCCACTAATATTTTTTAGTCACAGGGATATTTCTTAATATCCTTTTTTTTTCACTAGGTTTCCTTCTGACACAAGGATGTTCACCAAAAGGATAGATCTTTATATCCTTTCTGGTTCCACTAATATTTTTTTAGTCACAGGGATATTTCTTAATATCCTTTTTACTTTTTTCCTTCATAAAATTTGTGTATCCTTTAATCTTATAAAGGATATTTCGAATACCGCACTAAGGATTAAAATCCTAGTTCTATCACGCACAATAAAATCTGTTTTATTATTTTTATACGTTGGATAGGACTTTGCGGTATCCTACCGACTGCGCCACTTTTATTTGCGGAAAAAACTTTGACTAAAAAAAAAAGACGTTTGGTGTGGTTTGAAATTATAACTTGCTTTCTTTATTTTTCACTGGCTTATATACTAAAATTCTGTTTATTGCTGCATTTTCGTTGTCGGAAATGCAGCTGAAAAGAAAATACAGTTTTAAGCTAATATTAATATTTAAGTAAACAATTCTTTGGAAATTTGTCTGGAATAAAATGCTGGATTGCATATCAATATTTTAATAAACAATTCTTACAAATAATGTATTAACGAATATTTATTCTTTGGAAATTTATTTAATAAAATGCTGGATTTGCATATAAATATTTTGGTAAACAATTCTTTGAAATAATAAAATGTGGAACGATTCTCATTAAGGGAATAACGGGAGACACTATCGTTGAGGGGAATTAGTAGTTGACACTATAACAATAAATCACCAACTTACTTAAAACTCATACTGCAGCATCTACATACAAATCCATGTTAATCATAATTTAGAATTTAGTTATTTTTTACTCAAGCTTTGTGGGTCCTTGAGTAGACCCTAGCTGCGACTGAACTTACCTCAGCCTTAGATAGAACCACGTTATAAAGTGTCTCAGCTGAAGGAGGAAGTTTACAAAAGCTAAACTGAGATGCTATGCGAACATAGAAGCAAAATTGCGATTGAAGAAAACAAAGCAATTAAATGAAAAGAAGTAAGGGGAATAGAGATCCGTTTTGACTGGGATATAAAATAGTCACGAGGAAACTGGAAGCACAAGCTTCAATGAATGGAATGAAACACTCTGCCTCTTAGTCACGAAATAATAACAAAATAAACTATTGCCGAATCCTTAGACGCTCCCATAGCTTTCACTATAGTAGAACTGTAAGTGAAAGCTAAGAAATTAACAAGTTAAATAGTATCAGTCGGTTTTGCCGACAGATTGTGAACCTTTGTGGGTGAGGTTGGCAGATATCTATCATGTTCACAACTGAAGATTTTGTTTTTAAAAAATTTGAACCCTATATGAGTGTTGATGGAAATATTGAGATGTACCAAGTCTGAATGATATCGGATGTTAATTTCGCGTTTAAGAGCTTCATTGATATTCAAAATTTTGAGCCTGATGTTCATTTCGTTCTTTGTGAGTTTCATGAACATTCATAATTTTGAAGCCTTTGTGGGGGAGGTACCAGAAGGAGTGAACCAATATATTCCATCTACACACCACACCTTGGGTTAATAAAAATTTTGCGACGTGTGTAATTTTACAATCAATCAAACAAGACAATCGGACTTTTATATCACGTTTTAGAAGATTTATAATTATTCAAAATGTTGACCTTTTGCGAGGGAGGTACTTGATGGAGTGGACCGATATTGTCCATTTTCGCACCTGACCTAGCACTAAGGCCAATATTTAACTAATTTCTTTGAAAATTTCGACATTTTGTGGGGGAGGTATCAGAAGGAGTGAACGGATATTGTCCATCTCCGAACTCGATTTAAGTTTGATAATAATATTACGATGTACCAAGTTTGGATCAAATCAGGTACTCCCTTCGAGAGTTATCATGCGTACCAGCCAGTCAGACAGATGGACGGACATCGCTAGATCGACTACAATTTTCCTGAAACGGATTTGGTTCAAAGAGACATAGGGTCTAAAACCGTTATTTCGATAAGGCACGTTTGGCCTATGAAGTGATATATACCCTCTGTATGGCTGAGGGTATAAAATATATCTCTGTCTACTTAAGTGAAAATCTATTCTATTCCGAATTTTGTTATTTTCTTAGAGCTTGTATCAGTTTTGTACCCACAACTGAGCCGTAAGGACGATAAGCATGGAAGGCATGCACTAACTAGGTATAGTAAATCTTAAAAAAAAACAACAATAATCTTTATGCAACAACAAAGTAAATCTTTAAGAATATATCATCAAAATTCCGAATATCGGGAGGTTCTGTTATATGAGGACTATAAGAAAAAGTGGACCTATATAGGAAATGCTATATTCCAAGAGGAGCACCCATTACTAACTCTAAATAAGAAATTTTAAGCAATTCCGGTGAAAAATGCGGCTATCATCAGAATGCCGAATGTTGGGATGTACCGTTATATATGGGTCATACCGTAACTTGGACCTAAATAAACAAATCTTTGCAATAATGTTTCTTTTGACTCTTGGGAGCACAAACTTCCGATTTACATCGAATTCGGTTGAAAAAGGCTATTTAAAACACAATCCATTTCAGGACATTTGGAGTCGATCTAGCGGTGTCTCTCCGGCTAGTGCTTATTATAATTACCAGATTTCGTTCAAACTTTGGTTTGGTTTGGTTTAAAGATAACATGGACCATCGTCTCTCTTCTTGATCTTCACATAATTTACAGTATTCATCAACACTTTATCCCATCTTGAGGTTAGACATCTGATACTGCAGTTCTTGTTCTTCACCTCGAAATTATCGACCAGATCAACTCAGATAGCCTGCAACCGGTTTCCAAATGCCATCCCCTTCCAACTTCTTCGATGAAAATTTTAAAGCAGCTGATATTATAGCTTCTTGGTGGTTTAACTGTCTCATCCATCGGCAGACCTATTGACTCGAATCATTCTCGAGCTATTTTATCAGCTACTCCACCCGCTCCGGTGCCTTCATTCATCTTGGCGCCGTCTGTATAAATCCCTATTAGGTATGTGCGCTTCTCGATGTTCATGCTCCAGTGCAAACGAATAGGGATTCAGTGTAACTTCACCCAGTACTGGGAGCGAAAAGTGATATATTATGCGTTTCCTTGTGAATAGTACAAGTTCAGTCTTTGCGACATATTCGACTGCATCAATTCGAAGTTGATCGAGCCTCACAAGAATTTTTGTTCATCTCCAGGAACCAAAGTAGGGCTGGGAGAACTCCACCCTACGGTGTCCCTTTGCTGACTTGATACATCGAAATATTTTTATCAAACTTAGATCGAGCTCAGATATGAACGTACCAGCTCCTTCTGGTACCTCCCCCTCACAGGTTAAAACTCTAAAATGTTGCTTTCATATATTTTAAAATAATTTTACAATATTTCTTTGAACTTCGAACAATGCTGTACTTTCATCAACATAAGATCTGCTGTAAATCGGTACAGCTTTACTGCACTATCACCAAACGGGTTACTGCCAACTAACCACTCGTACACATCAGAATTCTCTTTTATGGAATGATCAGCATTTCTGCAAAGCCAATGGGCAAAAACAACGACGTGTCTTTATTACCATAGCCATGCCAAAAATGTTTGGGTCTTGAACCCATAAAAGGGCATGAGGTGCATTGTTTTTCTTTTTCAATTTCTTGTTTAAACGTTCGTCTTGCAGGGTTGTTGTTGTTGTTTATCCTTCTGTAGCTGTGAGTGTGTACGTTTGTGTTTGTTTTGTTTTCCTATTCGGGCCACAACAATGTTTCGATAATTTCTGTTATTATTGAGTTTCAGTGGCTTCCCCGCTACTAGTGTGGGGTTATGCCAATGCAGACAAAGATGGAGTCGCCCATGTCCATGTCTGAACGGCGAAGAAGAAAAAATGTTGTTTTGCTGTGGACCAATGTTGTCTATGTTGTTGTTGTACTGTTTAGAGTGTTTGTTTTGTTGGAAATTTATTTTATAAACAATGTATGCCATAAATTAGCCAGAGCGGAAATATTTGAATTAATTAGAGCTTTGTGAGGAGGAGGGGCCTTTTTTATATCCTCCGCCATGGAATGGAGGTTATAAGCAGCTTGTGATTTAGTGTGTCTTTCATTTGGACCCATAGGAAGTAATATTTTTAAATAGCACACAAATATGATTTCAAATTTACATATTTCGTAAAATTAACATCTTACAATAAAAATTAAGAAAGATAGTTATTACGGATCAGGGAATGCCTCATGTCTTGCAGAACTGGGATAACTATTGCCAAAATTAAATCCCAGATAGAGAGACAATTTTGTTTTATTCCAAATTAATATAATATGTTTCTTGTTAAAGGGAAAATTGTGCATTTCTCTCAATGTGAAATAATTTCAATTTTCAGGGTGAGATGAAAACACTGCAAACAACTTCAGACTTCTGTTATTTCAAAGCCACTCCTTCGACATCCGTTAAAATTATTCCAGTGATAGCTCATTATATTCTTTCCAAGCGTACAAAATCATTTTGGTGAGAATTTTCCAGAAAAAAAGTTATTCGTGATTGAATTCGAGCGTGATAGCCTGATTTCTTTATATTCGGCTGAAAAATCACAAGTGGCTATCGTTAGAGCACTCCGGCATTTAGTGAATAAATCTTTTGTGTCGTAACCCGACGTGAAGGAAGTGGGCGGAAGAAAACAGAAACATCAGCAGAAATGGTTCGAAAAGTAAAGAAGCGACTTGGTCGAACAACGCGTGGCAGTGACCGAAAAATGGCTCGTGAGCTGAACATATCGCAATTTTGAAAAATGAGCTTACCCCGAGCTATTGAAATTCCAACAAGTGCAAGAACTTACACTGCAACAGAAAGAAAATAAACTCCAAAGAGCTAAAGAGTTGCTTCGCTTGGCCGAAAGTGGTGAACTGCAGAATTTGGTTTTCTCCGCTCCGATGAGAAAACATTCGTTGTCCAGCAGTTTGTAAACGAACAAAAATATCGTGTTTACTTGCCAAAGAGGTCAGCTGAAAATGTGCACTTTCGGTTGGCCACCACAGCTCAAGCGCCGACCATGGCGATGGTTCGTATTAATCGTCCGTGGCATCAGAATAAATGCCGAATATTATCGCAAAAATATTCTGGAGGGTGTATTAAGGCCTTGGGCACGCAAACATTTTGGCCGCAGACCTTGTACATTCCAACGGGGCTCAGCACGCGCCACCCAAGAATGGTTACAAACTGAGGTTCCTCGCTTCATTTACAGCGCACAATGGCCACCAAAATCTCCGGATACCAATCCGTTGGATTATTGTGTCTGAAGTATATTGGAAAGCAAGGTTGGCACAAAAAATGCAAAAGTGTCGATCACCT